TAGAAATGCAAAAGAAGTAAAATTTAAAATAGGAGACGAAGTACTCCTATATGATGAAACAGTGCGGCGGGGAAGATCGCGAAAACTAGAATCCCCGTGGATAGGTTCCTATATAATAATCGAAAAAAATTCCGAAGTAAACTACACACAATAAAAAAAGGGCGAAAGACGCTGTGCACGCACGTAAACCGTCTAAAAGCATTTATAAATAATTAGTGCTAACAATAAAAAATAAAAACAGGAAAAACTCACCAGTAAAAGCAGTGAACACTGGGAGAGATAATCCAATATAGTCCAAAAAAGGGAACCCATAATAATAAACACTACACTACCACTAAAGGTCTAAAAAGTATTAAGAATCACTACACTAAGCTACTGTAACTACTGTAAGAATAATAAACTAATAATTAAAAGGTTCCTCACTCTCCGAATCTGATTCGGGGGGCGCCATGAAATGGGCTAAGAGGAGCAGTTCGTCCTCCTCTAGATCCTCCTCAAGATCCTCAATGAGTTCAATAAATTCGATCTCATTTTCCTCTTCATCCTCTACTTCTTCCTCCTCATCAGAGATGTAAATGACTTCTACAGGATCGTCAGGAATTTCTTCCTCGAGATCTGAGTCGGTCACCCCGACGCCGACGTCGCTCTCCTCCTCCCCTATAGGGTAATAGGGGGCAGGATTCGCGATGTGAGGATATTCCTGATCCTCATCATCGGATACCTCCGCGGAAAAAGGAGTAACCGTAAAAAGCATAATGATAATAGTTGGGCGAAAAGAACTCGTGAGCAACTAAAAGACTTAGCAGGAATAAAAGCCTACGAGGCTCAGAAGAAAAGAAATGAAATGCTGAGCATATTAAATATGAAACTTTATAGATAAAGTTACGTGAGAGAGCGAAAACTCTCACATGATAAATAAAGAGGTATGATAAACTGAAGAGAAATTAGACACGAGGAAAAAATGAAACGGGTGAGACAAATAAATAGCAACAATTATTTGCAGAATCATATCATGTATCCATGCGGCAGACGGACAGGTCATCAACCCGCCTTACAAAATCGAAAAGTTCAAACACAATCCTGGGATTTATTTCGAAGAAATCGGAAAATTATTACCCATCGAAGGATACTGGAAACTAGTGATAAAAACGGATACCACATCATTGGAGAAGAGAGCAAATCAATTACAAGAAGACATGTTGCGGACGAAGCAATTATGCCAGATATTATTAGCAGGTAAAGGATCTTGCGAAAATTTGTATGCGGTGCTCGAAAAAGAGCATAATAAAACACAACAGTTAGTAGGAAAAATAAAAACGGTGTATAGAATGGCACCTAATAAAAAAAGGGTCCTAGTAGATGCAATAGGCTCAATCGCAAAGTCATTATTTGGCACTATGGATGCTGATGACGACAGAATTATTAAAAAACAGCTAACCATAGTACACGACAAAAATGCTGTAGTTAAACATGCGGTTAAAAATCAGTTGAAAGTAATAAATTCAACCATAGCGCACATAGATAATTTAGAACAAACATTGCAAGAAAATCACAATACGCTAACATTTTACATAGATAAACTTAAAGAACAAGGATACTCGTTTAGTCGAAGACATGACCTAGACGAACACTTTACTCTTCTGACCGCATTAACAGACGATCTACTGAGGGACGCAACAGAAACGATCGACTACATTAATTACATTAAAGAAGGAATTTTA